TTCTTGAAGAATTTTTATTAATAAATCAAACCACGATGAAAGAAGTGATATTTTACATAAATTTTTGAATAAGACGAGTGGTCAAACTTGGTATAAAAAAGTCAAACGTCTTACAATTTGGGATGGATTGAGTAGTTCTTATGGCCGGTTTGTCCATAGCGGTATTATCCCGGGCATATAGCATACAGGGAAAGGACCGGGCTGCAGGCATACAGAGGAGTAGGAGAAGGGGGAGACAAACAGGGACGTCATGTTACCTTTCTTATTTTTGGTTGGGAAGAGATGTGTTAGGACATGTCTTGCTATCCACCGCAAACGGAAGCCAGAGATCATCAGGTTGGACGAAAATCTAAAGTTGTCAGAAATTTTGCCTCTTTAGTATTAGGGATATAAATATAGATTTTATAGCAAAAAATAGCGGTCAAATTAAGTTATTTTTTAGACCGTGTCGATGTCAAAAACAACTTTCTTTATGGATATAGAGGGAGCACATGATATCCATGGCGACGTACATAACACGCCGTGCACATATGCGAAGCTTGTTTGGTTCACACCCTGACATGGAATGGAAAGCTGTGCCAGGCAGATCGATCCAACTCGCCGTTCGTTAACTGTTTCTCGTATCATGGAATGGAAGGCTTGTTTGGTTCAGACCAGTTTCTCGGATCGGGAAGCAAACAAGCTCGCTATTCGTTAACTGTTTCAAACAAGGAATCTAATGAGCAGACGCTACCTTTCAAAAAAAAAATGAGCAGACGCTCGTCCCGCCACAAACGTGTGTGTGTGTATCCAGCCGTAACAAGGTTGAATCGGAGTAGCAACAAGATGTCATGGTCATTCCTTTCAAAAAAGATGTCATGGTCATGTGGCCGGGTCATTCGCTCATCATCACACACGACTGTGCTATACGTTTGTCCTGGCTCTGGTTCGTGCGTGGCGCTGAGGTCGACATGCATGCATCGTTCCTTCAAGCTTCTTTCAGTCCTGCTCTTGGATCGGAGCTGTAAAGAAACGAACTGATGTTACAGAAGGGAAAAAAAGTATTATTCTAAATTATAAGACGTTTTGACTTTTTTAAATTCATAGTTTTTGTTATGTATCTAGAGATGTCAAAATATTTTATAATTTGATATGAACAAAGTAGGTCCTTTTTCTTTATGTTCATTTCAGTTGTCAGAAAAAAAAATCGGCTGTTCCTTGAGGTCCCGTTTGAATTCTGGGAATTGAATTCATTTTAATAATCATAATTTTGATGCATATTAATTAATAAGCTAATATATGGATTATATTTGTATATTATTATTGGCTCTACGAGAGAGATACTCATGTGTTGCATTTCTACCGTATGGGAGCGAGTTGAAGAGCGTGTTATAAGTTGCAAAATAGAAACATAAGATGGTCATCTATAGAATCAATTTCTATCTCACCCTATAAATTTAAGATAAGCTTATACGTGAACTTTGGAATGTCAAATTTCAAACCAAATAGCCTAATTTATTAAGTATATTTTAATTCCTTTAAATGAAAGGATCCAAACAACTCCTCAGGTTTTTTTTAATCTTTTTCCTTCAGGTTCATTTCAGTTACACATATACATGAAAAAAGCCCATTTTTCCTTCAGCTTAATTTCAGTTTTTTCTTAAAAAGGAGGGCTCTTTTTCCTTCAAGTTCGTGTCAGTTACAAGAAAAATAGGTCCTTTTTCTTTTAGGTTTATTTCAGTTTCTTATTTTTATTAAAAAAAATTGGCGCTGAAGTGTTCGGATTAAAAAGCTCCTTTTATTTCCTTTAGGTTAATTTCAGTTTGTTTGTTTGTTTTTTCCTAAAAAGCTCTTTTCCTCCAGGTTCATTTCAGTTATTACCAGAAAAAAGGGTCCTTTTCCCTTCCTTTAGGTTAATTTCAGTTTTATTTTCTTTTAAAAAAGTTCCCTTTTTCTTAGGCGCTGCAGACCTACAGTGTAGTGTTCCTGTTCGCTTGATTGTGTCAACCATGATACAGTATTTTTTCTCACGACAAAACAGCATCAACCGGTTCATAACACACAAAAACGATCATGGGAACAGGGCGTTGATTGCTGTCTGCCGTGCGAGATTTCTGGCGGTGATGTGGCAACGGCGACTCGGCGAGCACCATGCGTGCAGACTCTCCGCAGCATACGTGCATGTGGCGCTGCCGCCCACAGAGGCCAGCCGCCCGGCCGGACCCGTACTGTCGGCGTCACCGTCGCCGTCGGAGATATTAAGCAGCGGCCAGCAGGTGCCGCTGTCGCGAGTGAATAAACGAGCTAGCTCCATTCCCCCATCGCCGTCGCGGCGGCCGGAGAGGCGTCCGGCGACGGACCAATCATGCACCCGCGCACCGCACGCCGCGCGCACAGTGCGCCACGACCCAGGAGGCCACGACGACGGCGCGCGACACGATGGCACCCATCCGTTCCGGTCCGGTCCGATGTGGACGGCTCCGTACCAGTCGCCTGCTTGCCGCGGAGCGGAGCCCACCACCTCTGGCTCTGACATCGCAGGCCACTCCTTTTTTTTTTCCTTCTTTCCAACAAGAAAGGCTTGGCTGGCAGGAAGCTTGTCCATTTCTCGTCAGCTTGTGCAGTCCATGTGGTGGATGCTGTTGGAATTCATTCATTCATTCCGGCCGTCCTTCGTCTTCGTCCCCCACCTCTCGCTCTATCTCCACTCCATCTCCCTCCCTGCTCTGCTGCTGCTGCTGCTGCCACTATAATACTCTAGAGGCCATCAAGCTGCCTGTCCTCCCGTGACAGCAGCTGCCTGTCTGCCTGCTGACCCCGAGGCGCCACCGCCCCAGCAGCCGCTTCCCGAGATCCTTTTCGCCACCAGGATACAGGGCATCTGCGTGCTCTGCGCTCCTCGGACTCGACTTGGTTCATCCATCCAGCTGCCGGAGCTCGATCAGTACCTCTACCTGCCTGTAAGCTCCCCTTCACCTTCCTTGCTGCGCTTGCCCTGATGCTCTCTCCTCTGTCCTCTCTGCAGCCAATCCCTGCGCTCTGCGTGCGTGCGCTCTCATCCTCCCTCCCCAATTGAATTCCTGTCGGTGTTTGGATTAACAAAAAGGGAATTCCTTTCTCTTTTTTTCGAGTTCCATCCACGGCCTAAATTGGAATTTCTTTTCGTGTTTGGATTGATGATTATAACAACAACAACAACAACAACAACCAAAAAGGGGAGAGATTTCTTTCGCCCGTGCTTCGTCCCAGGCAGCACCGCCTGAAATCTGGCGGGCCTCGGTTGAATGTCTCCGTCCACAGCCTCCCCTGCTTGCTGTTGTTAGCCTTTGCTGCAGTGCAGAGCTTCTTCTGTCTCTCCGTCCGTCCTGCTGCTTCATCTCCCTTCCCCAGCCTGAAAAATGCCTTTTTTGTGCTGACCATGTTTCTTGGATAGTTGTTGCCAAACTCGTACGGATGGATTAGGAAAAGGAATATGGACATGAATATGCCCCTCGCCTGCTGTCTTGCCCTTTGTGGATGACTGACTGAATATTCAATTCAATGGAGTGCCTAGCTTGATTATTCTCTGCAGTTCCCATCCTGTCTGATGATATTGGCATATTGCCACATACGGTACTCCAATATATTCTGTCCAGATCCCAAGGAGGCAAAGCCAAAGCCAAAGGATGGTCTAACTTCTCTTTGACTCCCAATTGATTAGATTATTCCAGTGAGACAGAGAGAAGGGAAGAAAACAGACTTAGGATTTCGTGAGATCTTGTCTAGGTACTTAGGCCAAAGGGTGCCTAGCTGAACTGGTTAGGTAGTCTCGGCGGCACTCCTCAGGTTCTGAGTTCGACTTCTCGTGGGAGCGAATTTTAGACTGGGGTTAAAAAAATCCCCTCGTCTGGCCCACGGCCAAAGCACGAGTCAAAAAGGCCCGGCCCGGTTCTCACAGGGCAACGGTGCCCCTGTGTCAGGGTGGGACAGGAGTTCAGGGGTTTTCTTGGCCTGTGTGAGAAGGTCTTCTCTATTACAGTAATGCCCGGGGTGGCTTACCCCTGCAGGTCGAGTTTTTTTTTTGTCTAGGTACTTAGCAGCCCCATGCATGAATTGAAATATTGAATTGTTCACCAATTTTCTGATGACTTGCTTGCTTCCTGTGGGGAGTGGGAGAGCCGGAGAGGAATAACAAACAAGCTGAACCGACGGCTGTTCACCTGTCGACTGTCGTGGATAAGGCTGGATAACGGCTCGGCTCGTTATCCTAACGAGCCAGAAAGCTAGCTCGGCTCGGCTCGTTATCCTAACGAGCCAGAAAGCCAGCTCGGCTCGGCTCGTCTTGCGAGTCAGGTATAAAAAATACACAAAATATAATATTTGCATTTATCTAAAGTTTGAGAATAATAATAATATAAAAAAATACATCTAGACCAGTTACCAGTCAATTTATAGGGTCTAGACCAGTTACGAGTCAATTGTAAAGTGCAAGACATGAAGTAATACAAAAACTAATATAAGTTTTGATACTTTTTTTCTTGGAAGCTTAGCTCGTTTAGCTCACGAGCGGCTCGCGAGCTGGCTCGAGTTGGCTCGTTATAGCTAACGAGTTAAAATCTCGGCTCGGCTCGGCTCATTATCATAACGAGCCGAGCCGAGCCGAGTCGAGCCAGCCACGAGCCGAGCGAGCTAACAAGCTTCGAGTTTTTCATCCAGCCTTAATCGTGGATTTTCTTCCATTGGGCGCCTTCTACTTCTGCAGGCCAACATAACAATTGACTACTGCGTATCATTGTCCTTCGGTGCTTTCATCAAAGAGTAGCTAGACGACATGCAGCATGCTGAATGCATCACGCACGCATCCTGATTCAATTCAACTCGTGTCTATCCTGCTGCCATCTTTTTCACCGTCAGCTGTACAGTAAGCCCTGTAACAATCTGGGTGAATTTTTTTTCCACGCAGGACAGTGAAACCACAGGACCAGGCGTAGAAGATTCCTGATCTCTGGTGTTACATTCCAAAGGGAGTGAGAAGGCAGGGAATGAGTACAACCAAGGTGAAGAGACGTGTGGGCAAGTACGAGCTCGGCCGCACCATAGGCGAGGGCACATTCGCAAAGGTCAGGTTCGCGAGGGACACGGTGACCGGCGAGGCCGTAGCCATCAAGATCCTAGATAAGGAGAAGGTACTCAAGCACAAGATGGTTGAGCAGGTCAGGTCGCTTTCAGTCACGTACTTTGAATTATTGCTGTGTTTTTTCTTTCTTTCCAAAGTTTGGCGGTGGTTCACATCTCGTTGATTGTGGGGTCTGTCTCTGCCCCCCCTAGTGTCTCTGCTTTTGACTAGTCTACTATGGGCTTAGCAACTTTGTTCAGCATTGAATTAGCAGTTCCTTGTTGGTGAAATGTTTATTTACATGTTTGATTGAATGCAGATTAAGCGGGAAATCTCGACGATGAAGTTGATCAAGCACCCTAATGTCGTCCGCATATACGAGGTACCTTCTTGGTCTTTTAGTTGATCTCACAAAGTCGTTGATCAGAAAAGAAAAGGCAGAATATTTCCTAGCATAATCATTTAGCCCGCAGATTTTCTTTTCACTGGGAGCATGCGGAATTGATGTTTTCATTAATTTGTAGGTAATGGGAAGTAAAACAAAGATCTACATTGTGTTAGAATTTGCTACCGGTGGCGAGCTCTTTGATACAATTGTAAGTGATATGCACATTGCCCATTCCAGTTTATGCAGTTTCTGCTATACCCACCGCCTTACTGTTTCAGTGTCCACAGAGTTCAATGTACCGCCGACAAGTTTTTATTAATTGTCTGTATTCCTCATTGTAAAGGTTAACCATGGCCGAATGAGGGAAGATGAGGCAAGGAGGTACTTCCAACAATTAATCAATGCAGTTGATTATTGTCATAGCAGGGGTGTGTACCACCGGGATTTAAAAGTGAGCTCAATTTCTGTCTCTGTGTGTGTGTGTTTTTCTGCAATTGAGAACTCTATTTCAGAATCTAAACTATGATACTTGCAGCCTGAAAATTTACTGCTTGATTCATATGGAAACCTGAAGGTCTCTGACTTTGGGCTGAGCGCGCTATCTCAGCAGATCAAGGTAATGACTTCTTGTATGCCTCCAAGTTACCAATGAGTACTTGATTAATTACAGGGTAAAAATTCACACATTTTGCTCAACAAATAACCATAGCCCTTCAAGCTTGAAAATCTTCAGACCCATCAACATATTTTTAAGCATGTTTTTTTTGTCTCTTTTACCTTGTTCAGGATGATGGACTGCTGCACACGACTTGTGGGACTCCAAACTATGTTGCACCAGAGGTAATGCCAGAAAAGTATATAAAATGAAGCGAAAATGCATATTATGGAAATTACTGTTTGTTGGGGATACAATCATTTAAATATTTATATATAAAATGAAGCAAAAATGCATATTATGGAAATTACTGTTTGTTGGGAATATAATCATTTAAATGTTTATATCAACTTCGTTATAGGTCCTTGAAGATCAAGGCTATGACGGTGCAATGGCTGATCTGTGGTCATGTGGAGTTATCCTGTTTGTTCTGCTAGCAGGGTATTTGCCATTTGAGGACTCTAATCTCATGACTTTGTATAAGAAAGTGAGAATTTCATGGCTTTTAGGTCACTGGTGCAGTCTTGCTTATTCATGCTTATTTGACTTTACCCTTCTTTTCCTGGCAGATATCAAATGCAGAATTTACATTTCCACCGTGGACATCTTTTCCTGCCAAGAGGTTGTTAACAAGAATACTTGATCCAAATCCAATGACGGTATGCCAGAGCACAAAAGCTGCTTGAAAATAAAAATACTATTGAAGCAATCCTAAGATAATGGAATAGAACAGATCTGCATTCTCCATATAATGTATCCCACAGTAGGCTCATAAATCACCTGATGCTGCCAATATCCTTTAATTAATTGGTATTTCCATCGATCCAGCATTTGTAATGTAACTCAAATCAACACAAATTTTAGAAGTTCCTAATTCACTTATGAGTATGCAGCCGCTGTTAGATGCAGTTGAGGGAAAACTATTGGTGAAAAAGTATAGGCAATTTGGCAATGCACATATCACAAAATGAAACCCTTTGTTCCAGTAAAAATTGCAAATTTGCAACTTCCAGTCGAGGATGGGTTGAGAATGTGCTGAGCCTGAGTCTGGTTTGAAAATGAATGAGCCTCCATAATTTTATCTTTACTCCATTGGTAAACCATGGCAGAGAATAACAATTCCAGAAATATTAGAGGACGAGTGGTTCAAAAGGGCTACAAGCGCCCAGAGTTTGATGAACAATATGACACCACATTGGATGATGTGGATGCTGTCTTCAATGATTCAGAAGTGAGTAAATGGTGCTTTTTTTTCTTCTGATGCATAACGTCACAGATTTTACTTACTAACTAGTTTTACAATTGTTATTTGCCATCATTCAGGAGCACCATGTGACAGAAAAGAAAGAAGAAGAACCAGTAGCTCTGAACGCATTTGAACTGATTTCAATGTCAGCAGGCCTAAACCTTGGAAACTTATTCGACTCAGAGCAGGTAAAGAAGATGTTCTTGAGTGCTTTGTAGTAACATAGAACTTCTAAATTGCAAATCATCATGATTTTCTAAGGACATTGTCTGCTGTGTGCTGTGCACTTGGTTTCTTTTGAATTATGCCAGTAAAAGCCAATTACACAATTACAAAGGATGTGGCAAGCTAATTCTAGTTCTATGCCTATGTGGTCAAACTGTTAGTTCCAACAGTACTTACAAAAAAAATTCAGTTTAGGATTTCCCATCATGGTCATCATGATTTTACAACCTTACTATTATGTAGTCTCTACTCTAATTTTTAGTCACTGTATCTGCAGGAGTTCAAAAGAGAAACAAGGTTTACATCAAAATGTCCACCCAAAGAAATTGTCCGCAAGATTGAGGAAGCTGCAAAACCTCTAGGATTTGATGTTCAGAAGAAAAATTACAAGGTACCTACACGTAACTCTGATAACTTATTATTTGAATATTTTCTTGAGGGCATGACTTCTTGAAACGAATACAAACTTTGAATATATCTTTCTGCATGCTAAAAGTTCTCTTTTTCATTGTGTGATCAGTTGAGGCTCGAAAAGGTAAAGGCAGGGAGGAAGGGAAACCTCAATGTTGCTACTGAGGTAAAGCTTAATTGTTTTCCTTAACTGCAATCTTCTTTTTTGTAAACTTCTTCTGCCTAACATTTATTATTCATATTGATTCAGATACTGCAAGTTGCGCCCTCTCTTCACATGGTAGAAGTCCGAAAAGCAAAAGGTGACACACTGGAATTTCATAAGGTAACTATGAGTCATGCAAAGATCATGCCAATAAAGAAACATATGTATTCATGTACTACAGTTCAGAAGCTGAATCATAAGCTGAACAAGCTGAATCATAGTTTGTTTATTATTTTAGCATCTTTTGTTTGAACAGTATGTACTTAAATGTGTAAGCTGTAATTCTCTGCAGTTCTACAAGAACCTTTCCAAGACCTTAAAGGACATCGTCTGGAAATCCGACGATGTTCAAATGCAATATGCTGCTTAGTAGAACCTCAGAGAGGAAGAATGGCAAACTATTTTGTGTACCATCCTTCCAAGCAGATTCCGATTCCGTAGTCTGTACTGTGCACTGTATTCTGCATGTAATGGTGGATGGCCTGGGAAACGGTGCTGGTACTCCGCCATTGTTGTAAATGCTGCATTTTGAGAGATTCAATTGCTTGCTGTATTTGAAGGGAAGTTCATTCAGTAGGTTTTGAGTATGTGAGTTTTGTATATCCGTATATTCCTATGAGTCATGTGGAAACACTATGATCAGTATCTACGAAATGAAGCCCAGAATGTTCTTGCCATCTTGCCCCAGTTCTCAGCACTGAACAGAAGGGCTTAATCTGCCTTGCATTTTCAAGAAAAAAAATGGACTATTGAATTGGGAACTCATATTGGTATTCGGTCATCATTTCAGTAGTTTTTTTTCCAATTTACACTGCGAATCATGCAGATTCTTGCTTTGCTTTCTGTTAGTTACATTTCTTTCTCCTGACAGCTAGAAACTAAGGTGTCAGAGTGAGTTGAGTTTCAGAGGATTGTACAGGAGGGGCAGAGTCTCTTGGAGTGAGACGATTCACTCCCATGGTCTTCCAGCTCCTGGTTCCTTCGTCTGCACAAGAACCCAACATTACATTTCAGACTCCAGGTACAAATCATGCATGAACAATTCTGATGCAAAGGAAAAAAAAAAGGATCTTTTTCTTCTTTTTGATAAGGATGAGTGGATGACAGACGGCGACTCACTTGGCGAGCATGACCTTGGCGAACTCGGTGTAGTTGATCTGCCCATCGCCGTCGGCGTCGGCCTCGCGGAGCATCTCGGCGAGCTCCTCGTCGGAGAGTTTCTCGCCGAGGTTCTGGAGGACATGGCGGAGCTCGTCGCGGGAGATGAAGCCGTTCTGGTCCTGGTCGAAGACGCGGAAGGCCTCCCGGAGCTCGTCCTCGTCGGCGCCGTTGGCCTCCCGCATCTGGCGCGCCAACAGGGTGAGGAACTCCTGGAAGTCGATGGCGCCGCTGCCGTCCGCGTCCACCTCGTCCACCATCCCCTGCAGCTCCTCCTCCGTCGGGCTCTGCCCCAGCGACCGCATCACCGTGCCCAGCTCCTTGGTCGTGATCGTCCCTGGTTTCATTCATTCGTGCCGCCCTCCACTGTCAAATGCTGTTGCAATTGCAATCCATCGACCAAGAACGCAATGCAACCAAGAACGAATAATGCGATGCAAAGATTAGAAGAAGAGGAAATGGCCGACCGGCCGGCTTGCCGTACCGTCGCCATCTTTGTCGAAGAGGCTGAACGCCTCCCGGAACTCCTCGATCTGTTTCTTGGTCAGCTGCTGCTCCACCTCGTCCATCCTCCCTCCCTCCCTCCTCGCTCTCGATTCTTCAATCCACCGCTGCTCGATCGATCGATCTCTTTAGTTCCGTTGGAGACGCCTCATGATCGATGGACGACGCATTGTTCGTACTCAGTCACAGATTCACAGGCAACTGTTGTACGGACGGAGGCAAATTTGTTTCGATTGATCGAGGAAGGGACAAGGTGAAATTCCCCTCTCTTTGTTCCTCTGTTGTTCGCGCTCTTGCGTTGGCTAAAATAAGGAGTCTGGACGAATTATATACCAGCTCAGTGCTCACAAATAACAAACCTTTTTTTGTGTGTTTTGTTTTATTATTACCAGAAAAAACTTTTGGAACTTTGATTCTGACCTTCTGGGTAACTATATGAGTTCAGAAACATTAGTACTTTTATGATGTTGTATATTTTTAGTATGATGAGTTCTATACTGTATTGTACACAACAATTGTGTTATCTTACGATTTCATATGGTATTTTATAATAAGTGTATTAATGTAGTAACTTCTATAAAATGTTTAGTTTGGAAACTTAATAATACCATAAATGCATGAGATTATAAATGCATTTTATTAGAAAGTAGTGGTTAAAGTTGCATCCTAATAAAATTATATAAAAAGATAAGTGTTCTTCAGTTAACGCACGCAAATAGTAAAACATAGGCGTTTTTTTTTTGTCACACAGTACGTATTCCTTTGATCCTTTCTTTAGAGTTTGGTATAGTAAAACAAAAGCATTCCTTTTTTTTTTTTTTGCCATCAGTTTGGAAGTCTAGAAGACTAAATAGAGCTGATCAACGCTTCAGGGAGGACCAACTGATCATTTCTAACTGCTTGTCACAGATACGCGCTACTTTATGCAAAATCTCACAACAAATGTTCTCAACCTTTCTTTTCGAGCACGTTTTTTTTTATTGACCGCAGACCAAACTATTCTTAAGCCTGTTTTCAATCTCTCTCTTATGCTATGTATATTCATTATTTAATAGAAAGCATATGTGCCTACCTGATATATTTAATTTTCTATTCTACAAAGTGAGCACATACTCAGCAGCATTTACAAATGGACGGCTGCCAAATTTTCCAAAACGAACAAAGCCAGCATCGGACCGCCGGCCAGGCTGTTGTCGTCCTTCCCGTCTATGCCTATTGCCTACCAGTGAGCCAAAACCTGCAGCAACTGCTAGCTTGAAGCAACACCACAACATCAGGTGATATATGCTGGGCCAACATCCACCTGAATTATCAGGGGAAGAAATATAGGGCGCTCGACAGAGGACTGCCATCCAAGATACTATCAAAAGCATGTGCCTATTACATCTTATCATCTATATATACATATAGCATAGAATCTCAGACAATCAAGATTTCTCATCATGCCCGAACACGTCAACATTGCACTCAAGCTAAACTGGGACGCAATATACACACTACTGCAAGTGTAAACCTAGATGCCAGGACTTGTAAGTTGAAAATTGCTACCAAAAGCACCTATGGCTCAGAAGATGCCATGGTTGTATCAGTGTTGCCAGGAATGGTTGTATCAATGTTGCTAGGCATCAAGACATTGAAGCCATCAATTGCCGTCGATATGATCATCGAGGGTATCTGTGGATGCCAGTGCAGTTCTTTCAAATCTCTCTGGCCCTGCTCATACAAACAGATGTCATAAGTTCGCCTTTTCACATGTAACAAAAAAAAAACGAATAAGGCAAATCATATGCCCACAAAAGATGGGAGCCAAAAGTAAGTAACGTCCAATGCCATCATAATAAAATGAGCGGATAATTTACTTGTACTACCTGATGAACAAATAGAAGTTGTGGGGGCAAATCTTCTGGTGTATTTGCCTGCTCTTTCATCTTTGCTCTGAACTCAGCCTCCTCTTCTGCATCTCTTTCCAATGAAAGGTCCCAAATTCTAAAACCCAAACAATTCAGGAGATGTGTCAAGAAATAAAAAAGAGCGCATACCCAGTCTGAGAGAGCTCCTGTTCAATGCGGGTGCTGGGAAGGTGTTAGTGGCAAGCCTTACCTCGCTTTGTGCAATCTTGAGGAGACCGTGACTCGAACCCGGGACCTTCCAACCACAAAGTGGTAAGACTCTACCACTTGCACCAGCAAATACTAGGCAAAAAAATCAAGTAATCTAGTGCATCTAAAACATGAATGACAAGGAAAAGGATGGAAAGTTACGTTAGTTGATGATCTTCAGAAGTTACAGCTAATGATGAAGCTTCATGTGGACTCCACTAGATTGATGTAATTGCTTTCTTGTGGTACTCAAAATGTGCAACCAACGAGCCCTCCTACCAGTACGATAAAAGGGCACAGGGGAAAAAGATTCACAACTATTAAGCAATACTTGAAAAGGTACGAAACCAAAATTACTATCAGCAGAAGATAAATTGGGCAATATGGTACAGCCATGGTAGTTTGTCAGCTGCACCAATTTGCGCACAGTGACACACACATACTAGCAGTAGTAGAACATATTTAGTGTAGGATACCTAACTTAAAGAAAATCTCGTGGCAAAATCATAGCTCATCTATTTTTCTTTATCCATGAGTCGCTTTAAAAACTTTCTAATATCTTCAGAACACCAAGTCGTGTGTAATTTTGTTACCGCATATTACACAGAGGCAAACAGAAGCCCAACTTAAAACAAATTATAGAAACAACAAAAAATGACATTGTTGGCTACATCTGACACTCACAAGCACAAAAAGTTGTGGTTTATCAAGAAGGAAAATACCTGAATTAATCTAAGATCACGAACTGAGAAACTGCCATCATCACACCCTGACGCTATCATGCGGCTAGCAAGCCTGACTTGCGAGTCAAAACAGTGAGTAAAACATTATGCACCACTAAGTTATAGTACTCACAAAATCAACAGATTTTTCGAACTGATATACCTATTCCATGAGATAACATTCACATCAGCTTTATGAGCCTTGATAGATATACGAGGTTCCTTCCCTGTACGTACATCCCATATTGATATCGTTCCATCAACGGAACAAGAGGCAAATACGTTGGCTTCCGTGGGACTCCACTGCAAAGATATAGATGTAATAGTTCAGCCAATCACATTCAAAGAAAGAAACATGTGAATAGATATATGATACAGCCATTCAGACATGCCTGTAAATCTTCAACACTGGCTGAGTGTCCAACAAATGGATTCGCATCTATGTTCCAGCTAGATGGAGTCGGCTCCCACAGGTGAATGCTCTTATTGCAGTCACCTGCATAGAAAATGAATTAATTTAATCTATGAAAATGTGTACACGCCAAATTAAATGGTACCAATGATTTATGAGCACGGAAGAGGGGAAGACATGACGTGTTAAGTTCTCAACTATGGAAACATTTTAAACATCACAGCAGATGACAAATATTGTGAAATGTGCAAGATCATATACACACCAGAAACAAGCCTTCCGGTAACAAGTGGACTCCAATCGATTGCATATCCCTCAGCTTTATGGCCACTAAATACTTTCATAGGTGTCTGTCTGTGGATTATGTCATCTTCTTTGGGTGCAGGTGTCGCTGACTCTGCTAAAGAATTAAGGACGGAGCTCAAGTCCCATACCTGCATATTTATCAACCAGGAACGGTTTAGCAATTCACAAAGAACTAGTCAGCATGGTGCACTCTGTTTCTAGACATATGTATTCAAAAAGAAATATAACACATATAGTATCCATTATGTTACTAGGCGAATATAAAAGAAAATTGTTGTACAGGTTTAGGAAGGCAACGATCACAGCAGATGAAAAGTGATGTGAGGTATGAACTGAATTACCTGAACATGACCAGTAGCTCCCCACGTAGCACATATATGTGGTTTTTGAGTCATTGAGCGTATCCGATTTACACAACCCGCATGAGCCACCTTTTTTAGCTGGTACATTCAAATAGAGCAACAGAACAAACCACAAGCTAGTGAGCTACATATAAACATAGAATGCTGGATAATTGCTTTTTTTTTTGTAGCAAAGCCTAGAGTTACTATCTTGATTTAAAAAGAACATACATGTAGGATGGGCCTTGTATCCTCATTAGTTTCTTCATCTTCTTCATCGCTGCTGCTCTCACTATCCACATCAGCGTCACCATCAATGGCTGAAGATGGTGCAGGTTCCCGTTTCTTCCCGCTTATGTTGGAAAGCTTGAAAATGCCAATATAATTACTTGAAGCCTTGTCAGCCTGTCAAGCGTAAGCTCCATCAGTAAGAAAGAGTTTACCTCAATCATGGAATAAGAAGTTATTATCATGAAATGATTATTTATAAGTCCACCAGTCGTATGCCATTATTTAAGCTGAAATGTCCAACATAAGCTCAATCCATTCAAGAAAGTGTTGAATTTATTATCTTACTATTTTAACCATCCAAATTTGCTCAATGACAATCCATCACAACTTCTAGCAACAATCAATATATAAGTGCAAGCAATCAATCACTATAAGTTTCTGGTACGGTTTTTCTGAGAATAGAATCAGCAACGGCACACGTTTTCAATTGAAAACAAACAAATCAATGTTCCTGTAATTCAGAAACTAAAATTAATACTCCTGTTTTAGAAGGTGTGAAGAGTATTGCAACCTGCGTTCCTGCAACACCATAGAATGTGTGGGGAAACTCTGATCGGACAAGTCCAAGTTGATCGCGCACAACATCAAAACTGTGACGGAAAGTTATTCATTGAGAATGGACAATGTATTGGCCTGAAGTTAAGGATACAGAGGTAATGAATTGCGCAGACAAATTTTACCTCAAGCAAGACCAGCCAATGCCGAACCCTCGGATATAATTGTAAGCCTCGGGATCAAAGTGGAGCTCCTCTCCATCTTCCAGTGCATCGACACCCGGTTGCCAGACCTGAAACGAAGCACTAAAGAGGTAACTAACAAATTGGAAAAAGGAACAAATTAGAGAGAATTTTTTAAGCAGAAAAGGCAATTCAATTAGGCGTAACTTTATAAGAAAACACCAGTAGTTCAGATGCGTGACGTGAAGGATTAAGGAAAAAAAAGGTCAGTGATTTCTCCCTCACCTTAGCCGGACCAGAGGCGACCGCAGGATTAGACGATGACGAGGAAACTGGAGCTTTCCTCAGCCCGGAAACAGAGCAGAATTAGGTGGAAACTGGAGCACAAAACATACTGGACACAACGAAGAAGAGCACATCGATCAGAGCTCGAGGAACATATAGCATCTGGTTTACGGTACCTTGGCCTTCTTGGGTCCGGCGTTCCTCTTGATTTTGCGTCCCATCAATGAGGTGTATGTATCAGGGCTGGTGGCCGGCCAAATTTGCGACTGCGAGGGAGAGGGAGGGGAGGTCGTAGGCGGAGGTGGAAGGGCGGTGGCCGGACTCGGACCGTCGCCGTCGGAGCGCGCGGGGTATTGGCGGGCGGCGGCCTCTTTTATTCCCTCAGGTAGGGTTTCCCGTGTGGTGTGGACACTGGTCTCAAAAGCATTCCGGCCCAGGAAGATTTTTCCTTTCGGAACATTTTACAGCCCATGAAGTTTAAAAGGTTGATCTATTTTCTCATAAAAAAACAATCAAACAAATCAAATCAAAGGGGAAAAATAATCAAATGGGGAAAAGAGATGAGTTGCACATACAAAATTCCCCAACTAGAGAACGTTTCTCTTTCTCTACAGAATTTCATTCATCATTCAAATCATACCATACAGCACGGGCAAAATTTTACAGCACGCGAGGAACTGAATAGACACTCAACAAATTTACATACTAGCTACCAGATCACAGTGGATAGAAATTCAAAAAAAAAAGCAGGGGACCGAAAATGATAGATATCCACAAAACAAATGTCTTTCTAGTAGCTACCTGTTGCCTTTCTATCGAGGGAGAAGAGTCGTGATTGCCGATCACCATGATTCCTCGAGTTTAGATAAAAATGAGATCCAGATCATTGCATGATTCCTTTGGAGAAATCTCTTTGACGCTTGAGTAGCTCATCTGGTAGCTCTTCCCCATGATTCCTTTGATCCATTACTGGACTATTACAGCCTCAACCCAGATAAAGCATCTGAAAGATCAGAATCAGACATGTAGGAAGCATTAAGCCCTTTGATCCATTACTGGACAATTACAGCCTCAACCCAGATAAAGCATCTGAAAGATCAGAATCAGACATGTAGGAAGCATTAAGATCTCTACTGCCACAAGCACTAGTCTTTTCTATGTTTGGCATGAAGCGATTCTGGATATTTCTGTGATATTCAGCATTGTCTGGATCCATACCATATCTATCCAAAGTGAACCCATGTCAAATGCAGAGTAGTTTGCCATACCGCCACCACTAACTCTGCTCGGTCCAAACTGCCGTTCATCCAAGTCTCATTTACCATTAATTAAACAGGAGGCCAGGTGGTCCAACAGATAAAGATGCAGAATTACCAAAATGTTCCTGAAGCAAAAATATAAAGCCCAAAATTATTCCAAATGAACACATAATGAAAAAGAACTATAGAAAAAGTAATTTCTTGTCCCTTCTATGGAGCATTAGGCAAACAAGAATAAGGCATTCTATTCCAACAGTTGGCAAAGAAATGAAAATCAAAGTTAAACAAAAGAACATGAATCCATCTTTAAGAGGTTTTACAAAAAAAAATGGGTACAATTAAATCATTAAGCATGCAAACGTAACAGTGAATGTCAGCAGGATACAAGGCAAGTGGACACAGAAAATGTAGTTCAGCACCAACCTAGTGGAAAGGAAAATTCCAGTTCACATTGTAAGCACTGGTTTTAGTCTCAGTACAAACACAGGAGTTCTAAATTGCAAAGAAATCTTATGATGTGACCATAGGAAAAACTGCTCAATTTGCAAAGTTATAGGGTTTCATAGCCAACAAGTTCCGACCTAGTAGAAAAATGGGCAAAATATGCCCATAGTAGACAAGTGTCTAGTCATCCAGCTCAATGATTTTCACAACGGATGAATCTACCACTTTCTAGCAAATAGCGACGAACAGTCATGGGCCAAGAGAAACGGATGAATCAGAGCAGATTTTTAGCTGACAGCGTTTTGACAGTTACCGCTTCTGATGTCTTGAACATTAGGCTGATTTCAGTAATTAACCTCTACTATGCCCTAATAATATTGTTTTCACCCACTTGTTTATCAGAAAAGAAAATTTACCTACACGGACTCGTTCAGATAGTGTGTTTGATTCAAAATCAAAAACCTTGAGTGCTCCGCTAACATCGATCCACCACTAGTTTCAGAGAAATATGAAGAAAGCAGGGTCAGCAGAGAGAGGTTCCGGCCAAGGAGAGATGAAGCCCAAGCTAAGCAGCTGCAGTTTGCTCCGTGTCGCCCCTGTACTACTGCTTGTCCGCTTTTCTTGCTGATGCTCCCACGGCCATTCCTCAGAGTTTTACTGTTGTTGCTGCCACCTTCATGAGGACACACATAAGTGGACAATTCTAATGAGAGCGATGCAAGTGCAGTGCAGGTGGACCAGCCGCCACAAATATACGTAGGGATAAGGATACGTATGCAAGTGTCTTGAAAAAAATGAAAAGAAAGGTCTCCAAGCAATATAGTTTGTAATACTTAACTGCCTTGAAAATGGTGAGTGCAAATTGTTGAATATAATGGTGGTTAGTCGTCAGAGTCAAAGCACAAAGGGAAGTGATGCACACATGCCACATTTTATGTCTCAGTACTGCTACTCCAGCAGTGCAGTGCAGAATCTGAACTGAATGCAAGACCAAGCAAAAGTTTCCTCCATCAGCATCTATGATTCATTCTCTTTTTTAGCACTTTCAGTAGGGCCGAAATCCATGATTACATTAAGAAAAACAAATTCTGCCAATTTCGGACTGTACTATCAAGACATACAAAACACACAAACATGACTAGTTAAGATTGCGATCTTAGGCATTCCTATCATACTCCTGTTGTATGAACCACATAAAACTTTAACAGCAAAGGAGTTCACTGTTTCCTGTGTTTCAGAACAGAGTAGAGTTGACAGCTTTTGGACAGTTACTGCTTCTGCTGTCTTGAAGATTAGGCTGTTTTCAGTCATTCACCCTATTATGTCCTAATAATATTGTTTTCACCCACTTGTTTATCGGAAAAGGAAAATTTACTTACATGGCCTTGTCGAGATAGTGTGCTCAATTCAAAATCTGAAACCTTGAGTGTGCCACTAGCATTGATCCACCACTTGTTTCAGAGAAATATGAAGCAGGGTGAGCAGAGGGAGAGTCCGGGCAGGGACAGATGAAGCCCAAGCTCAGGAGCCACAGTTTGCTCCATGGCGTCCCTGCACTACTGCTTTTCTTGCTGATGCTCCCGCGGTCGTTCCTGAGAGTTCTTGTTACGCGGCTGCTAGGATTGAGAGGGAGAGAGCTGAGGGAGAGGCGGCGGCGGGGGGCTACAGTACTGCGGGTACTGTTTACGGCTAGGGCTGCGAGGACGAGGCTGGAGGCCGGCCGGAGGCCTTACCCACGGCCGAGTAAGAGGGAAGGGATTTCCTTCTTAATTCTTGTTTGATTAGATCGATACATCTCCTCTCCTTATATAGAGAGGTTTACTTGACTCCCAAGCAATGCTTACTTGATCCTTAAGTAAACGATCCTTATCTCTATTTAACCCTAACACTAATGGGTTATACAGTCAACCCAGGCCCAATAGGCCCCTGACGTACTCTAACACTACACCCCACCTGGACATGCAGCTCGTCCTTGAGCTGCAACCTAACCAACGTAGAACGCTGACTCGACTCCTAACACCTACAAACAAGTCTTTTACATCTTGGCTTATTTTATTATTCTCAACCTGAAATGGACTGGGACTCTTTATTTTGACTCCTGAACATAAGGTGGACACCATCCGCACGCCAAACCTGCATGTGTACAGCCTCCTGGATCCCATGGACACCATCTAGACGAAAGGGGTACATGTGTATGGCCACCTGGAAGTGGTCGCAACAGTGACCATGCGACGGCGCTACGCGGTGCGCTCTCGCTGGTGACCCCACGCCTTCTCCCCGCCAGACGGCTGCTGGTCTGCACCGCACAGAGGAGAGCGGAGGGCTTTCGATGGAGAACGAGGTGGAGGGATGCGCCTCCCCAACCGCCGCCCGCAGGGAAAATAGCATGGCCGCTGCCCGTGGGGGAAACCGCATGCCCGAGATCCCCGACGCAGCGGACGAGATCGAGGTCCTCCGCGCAGCGAAGCGCAACTTGGAAGAGCTGCCAAGGAGTGCAGGGCTGAATCAGCTGCAGATCGCGCATCTCCCGCACCCACCGACGTGCTAGGAGGCCGCGCGTAGCAGCCTGCAGCCGCACCGCAGCCGACACCTGGCGGGTAAGCATCTTCCCCGCCGACGTCATCGCGATGTCCATCGGCCGCTCGATCTGCTGCAACTTCTCGCCCGTGACTGGGATCTGCTGGGCGCCGGTTATGGAGACGACTGTCGTCCCATAGCCTGGCCAGCCGTAGTGCGAGGCCCTGGGCCGGCTCCACTTGCCATAACAGTTCTACTGTTCTTGCTGGTCATACCTTCATGAGAGGACACAGATAAGTGGACAGGGACACAAGGCACGAGAAAAGGTGTGCAAATTGCAAGTCACATGAATATAATGGTGTGCAAATTGTTGAGATAGTGTGCTCGATTCAAAATCTAAAACGTTTTGAGTGCTCCACTAGCATCGATCCAACACTAGTTTCAGAGAAATATGAAGAAAGCAGGGTGAGTAGAAAGAGCTGGTTAAAAAACCTCTCTTGTTGGCAACGAGAGATGAAGCCCAAGCTAAGCAGCTGCAGTTTGCTCCATGTCACCCCTGCACTACCGCTTGTCTGCTTTTCTTGCTGATGCTCCCACGGTCGTTCCTCAGCGTTTTACTGTTCTTGCTGCCACCTTCATGAGAGGATACACATAAGTGAACAGGGGCACAAAAGGCACGTGAAAAGGTAAAACTCATCAAGCAAGAGATAGCAACAAATAATCAGAACTCTGCTCTCATAGTTTAGCCCAAGTAATCAACAATTCATTATGGACCAAAAAGTATTTCTCAGTGGGAAGGGCAGAGAATTCAGCTTTGAGCTTTTTTTTTCTTATTACCTTTTCTCTTGTTGATGCTGTTACAATAGTGACATCAGCTGCTTGAATATAATCCAGTTAACAGAGAGTTCTATATTAAGCAATTCTCTGAGAGTTCGAGGATAGCTAGGTATTCTTATATTTGAGGATCATGCACAAAAATAACGTCAATGACTAAGGTCTTTGCTAAAACCCCTGCTCCAGATGCCATCATAAAACCAAACTGCTCCAGTTCAGATAACCATGATGGATTGATGGTTAGAGGTATCGACGCCACAAATAAAGACATGATGGGATTTCCAGTGCTCTACTTTCTTTATAGACATGGAGCTGCAAGGAATCGATCAGTTGGATATCAGGAAAGTGCAAGCCAAAGGAGGATGGTCTAACACAAAAGTAAATACAAAAGTTAAGCGAAATCTGAGTAGTGCATGGGCTCCCTCTAATACAAAATTGAAGGCATTGTAGTGAACAAAGAAAACAAGTCATGGGAAATAGACCACAAAACTACAAAAGCATCAGAAAACACTAGTATACAAACAAACTGTGAAAAAGAAAAATTAAGAAAGTATAGTTTGAAAATGAATTTGTAGGAAAGGGGTATCAATTGCTGCAAGTTCCCACTTCCCAGCCTCCAAAGTTGAATTAAATATTCAACTTCATCCAAATATGGCACATATGAAACATGATATTCGACTTAAAGAACAAGAAAAAGTTCTAAAAAGTAATACATGCATCTGCCTAAATGCACCAAGTCAACAGGTATTAACAAGGCTAACCAGAACGGAGGCCGGAGCACTGGTTCTACATCAACAGAGAATATAAGATGAATATCTATGAAAACATCTAAGCAACAAGCAATGTAGAAGAAATCAAGTCAAATTTGGTACATCCACTACTATCTTGTTAACCTCTTGATCCATGGAAGATGATATATATTGGATTTACCTGTTCCATGGAACTACAATCAGCACACAGTGCTAGCAGGATATTTGGGAAAATAAAGCTCCAAACAGTAGTTATTAGTGGGGAAAAAAGGCACTGCTAACAACAAATATTCAGCGGTGGCGGGGGATAATGCAAACTGTGGGGAAAAACACAAGCATAGTGTATAGAAATCACCATAAGGATTAAGAAGTCCAGATGATTGTACTCCCAGCTGTGAAGAATTTCTTACAAACTAAGCAACAAAAGGCAGAAACTCATGTTCTCCCAATAGTTTGAAAATTGATTCCCACTGTAAAGATAACTGGGACTGAAGACAATATAACTTTATCAGGTGATAAATAGGATGCTGACACGCACTAGCAGTACAACATTTCCCTAAAGAATTTCATCAAACAAATAGAGCATGAGATAGACATACCACTCAGCTGAGACTTTATTCCGTTTGACATAATGCTCACTTGTTGACCTCCTCAAGAAAATGGTACTTTTCAGGTAGGGACTTTGCAAGGTTCTTATATTCCTCTCTCGAGAAAAGTGATATTAGCAAGGATGTAGTGGAAGCCTCAAGTGAGAAGTTCATTTCATCAATTTTGGAGAGGTAAGCCCCAGCCCTCACTATCTCGCCTCCACGCAACAGCCTCCTAACTATAGCATTTAGCATGCGTGAGTTTGGAAGGCATCCACTCTTTTCCATTGCCAAAAACAGATTCTCAAACTCATCTAGCAGCCCCTCTTGTATGAGATTTTCCATCATTAACCGATAGGTCACCACATTCGGAACTAAACCATGGGCAGGGATAGCAGCGAACAAATCCATGGCATCTTTCTTTCTGCCGCCTTTGAACAAAGCATCAATCATAATGGTGAAAGTAATAATGTTAGGTCGAAGATCCTTAGAACACAGACACTGGAACATTATGAATGCTTCATCAACACAATTATTTTTGCAAAGCCCATTTAGAATTATGTTGTATGTGTAAATGCCCCACTGTTTTTCACTTTTAATCATATTGAGGAAGAGTTCCTTTGCTTCAGAAAATCTCCCTGTCCGAAATAAACCTTGCAGTATAGTATTGTAAGTCACAGCTCCAGGCGTAACTCCCTTCCTCAACATTTCTCGGAAAAGACAATATGCATTATCTATCCTACCAGCTTTACAGTAGCCATGAAGCAATGTATTATAGGATAAAATGTTCGGTTTCAAGCCAACTGAGGGCATAACATCAAGTAACTTTGCCGCTTCATCAGTTCTACCAGCTAAGCAGTGGCCATCTATTAATGCATTATATGAGACAACATCAGGCCTCACGCCCACACGTTCCATCCAGTCAATGACACTCTGGGCTTCCATGACCCGTCCTTCTTTGCATAAATTAGACATTATTGTGTTGAAGAACACAACGTCGGGACGGATTCCTTGATCCAACATTTGAAAAAATAATTCCTCGGCCTTCTCCCATCTGTCAACGGTGCAGAGTCCATAAACCAAGGAGCTAAAAACAACAATGTTTGGAGTCACCCCTTCGTTGATCATCTCATTGAATTTAAGCACAGCATCATCCACTCTTCCCAACTTGCAAAGTGAATCTATTAATGTTCCATAAGTGACTACATCAGGACTCAACCCATGCTGCCTCATTTTGCTAAGTATATGCATTGCCTCATCTATCATTGCCTTTTTAGCATATGCACAGAACACAATGTTGAAGATGTAATGATTAGGTGAAATACCATTTGCTACCATCAGATCTAGGAGATCAGGCAAATCAGCAAGGGCTCCTTTAGCAGCATACCCATGAAGAAGAATGCTGTAGATAGTTACATTTGGTTTTATGCCCTTCCTAATCATAGAATCAAAAATCTTCCTGGCCACTGAGCATTTTCCATTCTTGCAGAGATAATCCAGCAGCAAATCATAAGTAACATCTGGCTGAAGACCACGTGCGGACATTTCTTCGAGCATTCGGACCACCTCTTTCCATTGTCCTGTAGAGAGGTACCCAAGGATCAGACAGTTATATGTCTGGACGTTTGGCTTGACACCTTTATCAATCATCTGTTGAAGGACACCCTCGGCCTTATCAACAGCTTGAGCTTTGCACAGGCCATCGATGATCGTGGTGTATGTCACAACATTTGGTGTGCAGCTTCCATGTCCATCATCAGCCATCATGTGCAGCAGCTCAAGTGCCTCCTCAGCTCTCTTTTCATTGCATAAACCCTTGAGAACCGTGCTGTAGGAAACTACATTCGCCATGCAGCCAAACTAAGGCATTCGTCGGAGCAATATGTCCATGGCCTCGTCCACCCTCTTCATGTCACAGAGGCCGTTGAGCAGTTGATTGATGACTATGTTACTGACCCTCCAGCCCGTCTTAAGGATGAGGCCAAAGGCGGCGAAACAATACTCCAGGTGTCCCATGCAACCGAAGCATCCAATGAGGATGCTGTATGTGCACAGGTCAGGAGCCACCTTGTTGGAGCTGGCACGGGCCATCCGCTTGAAGAGAGAGACGGCAAGCTCGGAGGTTGAAGAGCATCGGGCGCGAGCGACAACGGTAAGCAGGTGGTTGAAAGCACGAACCGAGGCAGGCCTGGCGTGGGGCAGCAATTCATCGAACAGCTTGAGCGCGTCGTCGACGCCAAGGCTCCCCGACCTTGCTCGGTCTGCGATGACGCGCTCCAGCTCCAAGCACCGGTCGCGGGGGGCGCTCACGCGACGGGACATGCCGACGGGGGGTGCGCGCGAGTGGATACTGGCCCGGCGCGGAGAGGCACGGACGACGCTGCGTCCGCCTCCGGATCTGTGAAGCAGAGCAATTCGCGTGGGCTAGGCGGAGCCGCGAGTGCTGCGCCGTGCAGAGCTGTGACGGGGTGAGCGATTGAGCGCAGGAGCGGGAACGTCGGGAGGCGGCAGGCGGCGGCGGGTTGGGCGATGGCCTACGGGCGCAAGTCGGCCGTAGGCGCGTCGGAGTCGTAGGACGGAAAACTGGCTTGTAACTGTTTCTTTTTGCTGCCGTTGATACGTACGGAGAGATTCGTATGGAGGAATTGGAGGCCTCTTGTTTCTTTGTTCAGTTCAAAACAAAAATGCCTCTTGTTTTTCTTTCCAAAGGACAGGGGGAATTATTATATTAAAATTTAGCATAATACATCCTTAAATTACATATGAAAGAATGTAAAATAAAAATACATATTCGATAATGATTAGAATAAGGCGTAAGTCCGCCCTGTCCGCCCGAACGCACCCATCGACCCACTCCTATCCGCTTGTTCAAAACGCCTTATCCACCGCGCTACCGACCTCTGCATCCGACTCCACCACGCCGCCCGCCCACTGCTCACCTTCTTCGCTGCTGGGTCGCTCTCTACGGGGGACTGCACCCACCTGCCCTATCGCTGGAGCCACGTAGCCGCTCGCCGGGACCGTGCAGCTGCCTACCCGTTGGCATCCCCCCTCGCCACTCCGCGTCATCGAGCGACGCGCCGTCGTTGAGCTCCGCGTCGATGATCCTCCATTTTGTCTAAACAGCAAGTAGATGTTACGCTTAAAATCGTATGTTGCAAGCGTCTGTTTCTACTGTTTTCAGTTGTTTCAGAGGTATGTTGCAAGTGTTTCATATAGATGTTGCAAAAGTAGATCGGGATATTGCATATGTTGCAATGGTTGTATACGTATGTTGCAAGCTTCTGTTCCCAATGTTTCATCTATTTTCTCACACGTATGTTGCAAGTGTGTTTTCTCTGGATGTTGCATATGCTTCACATGTATGTTGCAAATGTTTTATTCGGATGTTGCATATGGTTTGCAATGATTTTCGAAGTGTTTTTGCAAATGTTTCAGATGCATGTTTTAAGTGTTTCATCTGTCTTCAGGCGTATCTTGCAAGTGTTGCATCTGGATGTATCAAAAGTAGATCGGGTATTGCATATGTTGTAATATGACCCACCTGCCGCAGGCCCCTGCTGCTGCTGCTGGGGCGCCGACGTGGGTTACCATGCGGGCACCTGAGGCCAGTAGATGCCTCCACGACGCGCATCCGCAGGCGGGGTGAGGCGGACGCGGGGGCACGCTCCTATTTTGTTACGGTGTTGCGTGGTTACGGGCGTGCTTTTGTTACGGGGATAGGACGGGGTGCATTTCTGTTACGTGGAGACGGGAAAGGGCATGGTCGATGCGCTCGAACGGGAGCAGCGTTCGGGCGCTAGCCCTTCCGACATATATTTTAACAAACACTTTCTCTTATTTCCTCTCTATTAACCTTGGACCCTTGGTCCATGCAATCGATGGTCTAGAAGCACTCTCTACCACTAAAACCAAAATATAGCTCTTATGCTAAATCCACCAACTAACTCTAAAACCTAAACATGCCACAATATCCAATGGTCTAGACCCCGACCAAAACACATTTAAAGAACATTGACGGTTGAATCATGGGTACTACACAAGCTACAGATTGAGTATCTCCAACCATTGGTTCATCAACGTGGACACCTAGGGCGCGTTTGCGACCCTGGCCCGGAGGCCCGGCTACGCCCGTGGGCTGCAAGTTGCCATGTTTGTGGTCGATGGCCCGCAAGCGAGCCTGGCTACGCAGAGCAACACTCGACCTCTCCGCCTGCTCTCTCTGAAACGACCAAAACCCTCGTTTTCTTGAGAGCCGAGCTTGCTCTCTGACGCACGCGGCGATTTTAAGGCGGCGGGGGTGGCTCGCGGACTCAAGGCGGGAAGGGGAAGCGTCTTCACGCTGCCCCGCTCTCCTCCGCTCTCCGCCTGCCGCCTGCTGCCTTGAAGCAAAATGGCGGTGATTTCGCGGTCTTTATATACTGGGTTCCCACTCTCCTCTCTCCTTCTTCCACTCGGTGCTTGCTCTTCCACCTCCCTCGTGAGAGACCGGCGGTGAGTTGTGGTGCGTGGCGGCGGGCGACGACCTCCCAGTGGTTGTGGGTTAGGTCACCGGCGCAGAGTTTCTTCGCCAGCGTCCCGCTCCATTGCTGCTGGGACTCCGTGGCGCGTGTTCCTCTTCTTCTCCGTCCGCATTGTCCGCTTCTTTTTCCCCGATCAGCATCCTCTACTTCCAGATCTACCTCCTCTCCGTTGTTTGGACCCCGAGCCAAGGTGAAATCGACCCCCAATCTTCTTTTTTGTGGTGCTTCTTGAACCTATTATGGTTTCTTGTTCGTTGTTGTTCATGATCTGTTAGGGTTTCATACTTGTTATAACTACTTCATGCTCCTATTAGGGTTACTTGTACCTTCTTCGTTCTTGATCTGTTGGGCTCGTGATCTCGTTAGGGTTGTTGATCTGCTTTTAGATTTGTATTGTACCTTGTTGTTCATAACTATTTGATGCAGCTTGTTAGTGTTACTTGTACCTTCTCGTTCTTGATCTCGTTAGGGATGTTGATCTATTTCGATTACTATTGCTCGAAGTTTTTGTTCCATCATTGGTCGATGATGTTGTCCACATAGTACTAGGAGGCATCACATACAAGATGCAACCTGTGTTTTTTGTTGGCATGCATTCATTTCACATTCATGTTGATGCCTAGCGGTACATTAAGTTGAAATCATGTTACATTTTTACATGCTTGTAGATGGATCTGTCTTTGAGCCATGACATGTCAGTGTAGGAAGGCAAAACGCCTTGATCATTGTTATAGTTACCTTTGTATCCACTAGGTCGAAAAGGAAAACCCCTCGAACTCAAAACCCCACCGCCTGATCCTATAGCACTGCCCCTTAGGGATGAAAATGAAAAGCATAGACAGAGAACACACCGAGAATGATATACAATTCCACCGATTCAGAGTGTATTTCTATGATTAGGATGAAGAGAGTTTCTTTTTTAAGTTAGTGAGAACTTTTAGAGAGGAGTCTTGTCACCGATAGGGAGGGGGTGTCAGAGAAGAGCAGGTTGCCATGTTTTTACATGTTGTAGGGCACAACCAAAGATTTAGGGTTGTCCACACCACCCTTTAGGAGGTCCATCCAAACTGTCCCACAAGCACTTCCATCGTGTTGTATGTTTGTGGGTGAGCTTAGGAATGAAATGATAAAGCCATTAGCACTACCACTCACCCAAAGATTCTTGGAAGCCATACATGGAATCCATATTTTAAGGTAATTGTATACCACAGGTTCATTAGTTACATTAGACCTGTTGCAATGACTCGACCCATGCTTTTTAGGATGTCATTGGCTTTATAGATGGCACTCATTTCCTAACAAGGGTTCCTAGGCGCATGCAACAAGCTTTTAGGGGTAGGAAAAAGGATCCCACCCAAAATATGATGGTAGTGTGAATTGTGATCTGAAATTCACTTATGTCCTGGTCGGGCCGGGAGGGCTCTCGCCCATGATGCAACTGTTTTGGCATATCTCAGAGCTGAGAAGATGGCTTGAGTTTGCTGGAAGGTAATTGCACACCAACACTAATTACATATTCCATGGCCTATTAACACACACTCTCACAAAGAGATGTCTTGTGTAGGTAAAATGTTCTTGGTAGATGCTTGGGTATGCATGCAAAATGGTTTCCTACCTCCCTCTGGGGGGTTAGGTACCATTTGTCTAAGTATGGCCCAAGGAACAGGCCCACCAATGCAAGGGAGCTCTACAACCTTAGGCACTCATCACTTAGAGTGACTGTGGAGAGGGCTATAGGTGCACTGAAGGGCAGGTTTAGGATCTTAGACAACAAACCCTTCCACAAGTATAGGACACAAGTGAAGCTTGTAGTTGCCTGTGCCATTTTGCATAACTGGATCCTAGGTTTTGGCATTGATGAAGTAGTGCCTAATGAGGAAGGTTTCACTACTTCTGCTGATCCAACCAACCTGCCCCAGCCCATCTGGACCAAGACTCTATTGACATGGCTGAAATAAGGGATGCCATTTGCAATGCTATGTGGGAAGGGAGGGGAACAAACACTAGTTGATGTAATATGTTCTTGAATTTAGTTTCTGTACCATGCTATGGAACTCATGTGTGTGTTATGGTGATGTAATAATTTGGTGGACAAAGCTGAGACCAATTTTATGCTTCATTCATTCTGTTCTTGAAACATTATGTTCTTCATGATCTGTCAGTCTGTGGTTAGTTCATACAACTGTTAATATTGTTGTTAGTCTGTTCTTGACTAATTCTGTTGTTGATTTCATTACATGCCAGTCCTAGGATGGATTCAGGTGCATTTGAGGGTGGGTTTGTTGCTGGTACTTCAGTGATGGAGCAGCTCATCAATGGTGGTTCTGTCCTGTTGTAGGTAGTCTTGTGGTGCTAGTGTCTTCTTGCTCTGCATTGGTGGTGTCTTGTGTCTGGTGTCTGCTCTAGGTGCAAAACCCCGCTGATGTTGCTGCTCTCAGTAGCTGGGAATGGGGCTGTCTTGAGCAATGAGGTGGACCAACACCACCTCGGCTTTGTGCTAAGGAGGATGGCTGCCTTGTTAGTGATGGTAGCAGGGCTGAAAAGGTTTTCAAGGACAAAGATGTGAATTCTATGGCCAAAGCCCTCAAGTAGTTCTGTGGGGAGATTGTTAGCCCAACTCAAGTGTACAACCACTTGAGGAAGTGGAGGCAGAAATGGGCTAGGGTGAGCAAGTTGAAGGACCTTAGTGCTGCTCTTTGGGATGACCAGGCTCATGCTATCATGCTTGAGCAAGAGCACTACCTTGGCCACCGTAAAGGTAGCAGCTTGATCTCGCTCTTTGCCTTGACTACCTACATT